CTAGTACCCAATCTGCCTGCCAGACTATTTATACTCCCAAGAGGTCTGTCACATGTCATCTCATCCTCAATGTGACTGACTGACATACTGACTGACTGACAATCCAGATCTGCCTCTCACTTAGGGGACTGTATGCATGAAATGCATGGATAAGACCCCAAAAAGGTTAAAAAAAGCACTGGTAAGTCCTCGTTCAGAGATAATCTTAGCAAAATGGAAAATAAAAAGGAGCGTTATTAAATGATTTCCCAAAAATGAAAATCGCACTCGCCAAAGGGGTGAGTGATCGATGATTTGTACTTGCCCGACATTTTTTACACTCACACTGGCAAGTGGGCGAACTCTAATTTCCAGCACTGTTCAGTGACATTCTACTGTTAGTAGTACCACTGTGAAAAATTGGTTGCACATTAGAAAAGAAAGTTAGTTGTGAAATCTACTATAACAAGAAGATCTTTTAGATCTTATAACTGCGCTTTTAAAATTTAACTGTTTTGTTAATACTACAGTCACAACGCAGTGCACATTCCAAAGCAGTCCTTGATGATTCATTGATTACTGTAAACACATCACTTGATCAACACAAACTGTGTTATAACTTATTGCACCATCACTCTTAGCCTTTGTGTTATCTATGATGATGTAATGGTCATAATCTGGAAGTTCGCTTGGGATATGCCCATGAATGATACTACAGGAAACAAGTGTCATGCTTTTAATAACACTTTTAATAAACAGCTTTCCTCCTGAAAAGTCAAAATTTAATTTGTTTCTGCTTTGAAGTAATCACACTAGTCACTCAATCAGAGGGTTTTCACTATCCACGGCTAATTTTATTTCCCCTAGCACTGACTTAAATGTTGCAAGTTCTGGCAAGATCTTGTTTACCCCAGCAAATATTTAATTTTTCTTCAAATCTCTTAACTCGCTGCAATGAAACAGCCAAAGAATTCGATGTCGAGGAAAAGGTGGTTGTTATTCATCGTGGTAGATGCAATAATAAAGTGTATTATTGTTTGTCATACGATGTAGTCACTTTAGATGTAGATCCCGACGTTTCGACTGCTTACTGCTAGTCTTCTTCAGGTGATAAGGTCAACTGATTGCACGGTGTCATTTATATCACAAAGGTCAGCTGTGATTGGTGCAAAGAATTCGCTTCATTTGCTGAAACCCACAAGAAATACTCGCAAAATTGGAAATAAATTAATGACTGTCACTTCTGGTGAAATAAACTTGCAAAGTAAACACGATCTTATTTGTCATGTAGCGAAAATGAAAGCTGTAACGTCAGCGCATTCCATGGCTGATGTAATACCCTTTTTAGCGTTTTTAGCGTATTTATTATTTCCCTTCGAATCCAATGTTTCGATAAAACCAAAAGAAAATATATTTTACACACAAATCAAGAAAACAATATCCATAACATTGTCCTTGTATTAATGTTTCAACAGCTCTTGGTGAATATACATCACAGGTTGCGTGATTCAATATTTGGCCAAGAGAAAGTTTGGGTCTGGTCACNGCCCATGATCATGCGGTTAACTAGTCACATTCAGATTTTCATCAGATCCTACCCACAAGTAGACTTTGTTTGTTTCACTCATAAAACAACAGGAAGAGATTAAGGAAAGAGAAGAGTTAACACCAGAGTTTATAAACTTGTTTAAAAAATTTGTCTTTTCTGAAAAGATGAAAGAGGGTGGCAAAGGATTTTTGCATGACGCATGATTGCCCCAAAATTAGCGGCGTGATGTGTGATCGAGACCAAATTAGCGGTGTGACATGGGACAGGACATCATAATGTGATGCAGGATTTGCTATTTTACAAGCACGTGACACTTGATTTACCAGTTAGATTTCTGTGACAAGTAAACGTTCATACCATTCATTCAAAGTAGATAGTAAGCAGAATCTTACTGAAAAGATCAATAAATTGTGGTAGATGTGACATCATTTTCTGGTCTTTTTCTTCCTTTTCTTGCCCTCTGAGTGATTCCTTTGATCTTCATTTGCTTGTTATTATAGATCCAAACAATTGTGCCACAATAGGAATAAGTCAATTGAAAAAAGTTAAATTTTGCATTAGGACTATGAACTTCACTGTTTTTGTCCATTGTGTCAACCGATCATTTTTGGCAGTGCATCAGACCATATTTGAATTCCGCTATTGTATGAAAGGTCTGAAAGAATGTCGTCTTAAACAGCTGAAACGATAAGAGATGTTAGAGTTTGGTGTCATTTTATGCTGCTGGAGAAGACAGTTGTGTAAGCAATGAGAGACTACTCAAGGAAAAAGTTTGTGTACTAGTTGCTGTACAGAGGAGGATTTGCAGGGGTAAAGCTTTGACACAAATATTGCCTGTATTTCAAAGAGTGGCAATGGTGGTGTAGATGTCTCTTTAATTCGCATACAAGATCTCTGCCAACTTAGCCTGTGAGCAGGCTCCCAATTGTGTTACAGGGGAAGGAAAAACAAAACGGGTGAGTGGAGATAGCCGAGAGTGGTCTGAAGAGAGAAAAATCTCATTCCACTAGGCTCACTTTGCTCGCCCTAATATATTTCGCACTCATCGTGAGCTTGTGCACAGACCATGCCAACTCTCCCAGATTATCCAGGAGCCTCCTGGATACAGACTGAATATCCCAATCCCCCATGCAAATAATTGTCAATTTGATCAATAACGATTTCTTAAAACATAAGCAGGTGAATATTAAAGTTAAAAGCCGATGTTTCGGCGTCATTGTGACACCATTAATTCTCAAGGCAAAGTGAATAAATAATTTGATTTCTACACAGTCTCTACAAATTAGCATATTAATAACAAAGGATCACACGTTCTTCAAGGGAGACATTCCTTTCCAAGTGGAAAGGAATGCCTCGCTTCCTTTCATCGGTGTTGAACTGTTAAACTTAGCTCCCAGAATCAAGACTAAGGTCTACGTAAAGCCAACTAATACAGGCTTCTTACTCCACTACGAGAGCCACATGGATAATCGGTACAAGCACAGGCTAGTTACCACCACGTTAGATCGAGCTTACCGCATATCTTCTGACTGGTCGTACTTCTCACAAGAATGCGATCGACTTGAAACCGTATTCTTAGAGCTTAAGTACCCGACGCACTTATATAATTTGGCTGTCATGCAATTCGTAGATTCCAAGGTAGCAGACCAGCAGCACATTCCATCAACCAAAATGACCACACCCACCATCCAAGTTATCATACCATTTAAAGATCAGGCCTCTGCTAATGCAGTGAAGAAACGTCTCACAGACCTCAGCTCAAATATCAACACCACAATTCAGCCTGTGTTCATCAGCAGAAAACTCAACAAAGTCCTTTAAGTCTGACAAGTCAAGCCAGCCACTGTTAACCAACAATGCCTAGTTTATAAATTTCAATGTAACATGTGTGATGCAGGATATATTGGTTACACTCGTGGTCACCTCCACAATCGCATTGTTAGACACAAACAAAAATCGTTGTCCATTTGTAAACATTATTTGAGTGAACATATTTGTAACTCGAACATACCTCCTTGTCTTTCAGGACAATTTCACGTGCTTACTAAATGTTTTAACAAATTTGATTACCTACACTGTAATTAAGGAGATGTTTTTTATAAGAAGACTTAAACCATCCCTAAACATGCAAACAGACTCGATTTGCGCAAAGATATTTACTTGAAGAACTTGTGATCCTTTGTTATTATGCTAATTTGTAGAGTCTGTATAGAAATCAAATCTTTGGTGATGGACAAAACACCAAAACACTGTGGAGCTTCTTAACATACCACTCATCTGAAATAGTATTTTTCAGGGGTAGTCCATTTTAGGGTAGTCCATTAGGGTAGTCCATTAGGGTAGTCCATTAGGGTAGTCCATGGACTAGGGGTCAGTGTTTTGTCCATCACCCAAATCTTCACATTATTTATTCACTTTGCCTTGAGACTGGTGTCACGATGACACCAAAACATCGGCTTTTAACTTAAATAATTGTCATTTTTAGGGGAAAATGTTTGGAATATTTGCTGATGCAATTCTGTGGTTGAATCGACAGAGCTCTCCTTTCAACGACACTTTTAGGGTCGAGAAAGTAAAATTGGCAATGTACTTACTTCTTTTTACGTGACACATATTGGTGAAAACAATTCTCCATGATACATGATTTGATAGAAAAATTCAGTGTGATGCGTGATTGGTACCCCCCTTTGCCACCCGCCACCCTCTTATAATAACGGGCATGGGGAAATGGAGTGGGGTAAGAGTTTGAGAACCTCATACCCATGCATAGGACACCCTGATCCCAACAAACCCCT